CACGGGGGGTTGTACAAAAATATTAGTCATCACTGAAAATAAGTTGCCTTTCTAAAAGGTGCCCCAAGACAGGAAATATTGATACGGGGCGGCAATTCTCCATCAAAATTAGTATACCGCCCTTTAAGATATGTCAGTTTCAACTATTTCGTATACTCACGTGCCCTTATAAAGCCGTTAAGTATAAAAAAAATGGCTTAAAGACGCACTTTTTTTTTCGAGAAAACCAACGGTAATTTTGTCGGCTTCATGTGATATAGTCCACTTCATACAAAACAGAGCCGACTGAAAACCTTCATCCCGATCATAAAGATAGCAGAAAGGCCATTTGCACCTTTCAAGGTTACGTCCTCAACATTGCCACCGTGTAATTTTTCTGAAGAGGTAACAAAGGAAAAAACCTAAAAAACGTTAACCTTTTTGAGTTTTCTTCCTAATGTCGGCAAAATTCCTGTATATGACGTCATCAATTGAGCGCTAACTGTGGTGGCCTGTGAGACCTTTTGCAAATGGTAAAGTTTCTGAAGTAATAAAACGGCTCTCTGATAATTTTTTTTTTTTTTTAAATAGAGCCGTTTAGCGAAGCGTACGAGGGCATTGACCTTATTCTTCGAAGAGAAAATTCGCCGAGATATCTTAAGTTTTTAGAAGCTCGCACACAACGCACCCAAGACCTTTTTTTTTTTTTTTTTTTTTGATCAGCGATGGCAGCTAAAATATCTGCAATTGACCAAACGCAATTTCACCCTCGTTTTCATATTTTATTATTATTAAAACGTGGCGCAGTGCTTTTGCGTTCAAAGAGTCGCGGACTGCAACAAGTGTTGGGTAAACATCGGAGTGGGATACTCCTTGGAGAGCGCACTTGACGGCAGTTCGAAAGTGGCTCATAAGCAGTGTTGGCGGTAACTCATTATTTGTAACGGTATACCGGTGATGCGTTACTTTTATTGGTAACTTAGTAACGTACTCGTTAGTCATTCATAAGATTACTTACGTTACTTATTCTGACTAACGGGTAACAGTAACCTTACTCGTTAAGTATCTTCCCAAGACTTGAGCAAAATTATTCTCTAGTATTTTCGTGTTTCTAAGCGAGAAAGCGTCCTAATTTTTTTTTTTTTGCGGTTTTTTTGCGTTTTTTTTTTTTTTGTGAAGATTTCTGTGCAAATGTAAAGAAAGATGTGGTAATTATATTGAATTTCTGGGTTGACCTTATGTTTTTGCGAACGCAAATGCGTAGGCTTACCTGTACCGTGAGGAGAGTAAGTCGCGTTAATTCATAATTAAAAAAGTTACGCCAAAATAACGTGCGTCGGTTCTTAACAATTACGGCAACGGCAACGCGTTATTTTTATTTTGGCGTAACGTAGGTCGACAACGCGTTCCTTTCATTGCAAGTAACGTATTTCGTTACTTGTTTTTTGGTAACGCCTACAACACTGCTCATAAGCCTGCTCTGCGGCCCCGGGGACTTCATTTGGAGGGCGTTCGCATGGTGGTCCCCAGCGTTCCCGCCCAATAGCTTCAGCTTTCGGACGCCCCAGTGCGGTGAAGGCAGGCCTGCGGCTGATAGAGGGACGGCGTGGAGCGCACTCTGAAGCTGTTCAAACGGGTGTCACACGGCTGCCGATGACTGCGATGCGACCCTCTTGAAAGTCCGCCTGCGCGCTCACAGGCGATGACCGTCGCCGTCTTTGGCTCGCTCCTCGGTGGCTGGTCCGTCGTCCGGAATGTCAGCAAAACGAGCCTCTCTGAAGGCGCCAACAGACGGCGGCACCCTCGTAGAGTATAGTTGGGGAAGCGGTACGGTGCGCGCTGAAAGGCGACGAATCGTATTTGAAACGGCGAAACATTCTGGAATATTAAGGCTTCTTTTTATGATCGCTAAAGCGGCTAGTCTTGCGGGCAAATTGTTTTACCAGTCACGAATATTATTTGGTGCAATGTGGCGGTGTCAGACCGTTGAACAGAATCACACTTAGTAAGGTACAAACAGCAGAAAGAAGAAAACATAACGAACAAATAAAAAAAAAACATGATATTACTGTCAGGCAGTCAGAAGTAATCAATTTATTCGGCCGATCAATTAGCGCGTTATATAGACGTTCGCCAGCGGCCCCGCTTCGAAATCTAGTCTGGCCACGGTGGATGGAAAACGCCTTGTTGATATCAGACATCGCCTGGTGAGAGTTACGAAATTGCAGAGGGAAAGCAAATTGGCGAAGGAAAGAAATAATGTTTTTGTTTTTAACTTCTCGGCTAGGTGGCGCAAGCTACCGCCCGATATGAAGGGAACAGCCGTTAGCATCCATCCATCCATCTTGTTTAGGAACTAGTCTGGAAACCGTGGAGACGCCTCAGCAGTGCTTGACCATCAGTCGATCTGCCCACACAAGCAGCAAGAGGGCGGCACCCAGAGGGCCGTACTTGCAAACGTTAACAGTGAGGTATTTTAGAACGCAGCTCTTAGGAGCCCGTTTCCGGCTTAAGCGCGGTGCAAACAGACGCGGAATACAAAGACGGGCGCCGGAACACGTAGTGACATCAGCGCTCTCTCCGTACGGGCGGTGACGTAATTACGGCTTCAGGCAATGGAAGTGAAGAGTTGAAAAATTTTCCCGGGTCTTGACGTAGGTTTCCGTATTTTCTCCACGGCCCATCAGCGCGGCGCGCTTCCCTCCTCCGCCCTCCTTGCCAATGGCGTTCACGTGGTTCCGCGTGCAAATGCTTCAGACACTCCGTGCTTGCTTTCAAGAATGGCTGCGGCGACGAACTTCCCGCCCGTCTCCGACGCGAGGAAAGCTGCTCAAGCTGCAAAGGAGAGTACCGCTGCCGCGAAGAGGGCTGAAGTTGTCGCAGCGTCTGATGTTCCCGAGAAAACCTATAGTTGAATTCAGCTAGTCCAGCGGTACCCCTGGATCTACAGCAAAAGAAGCAATGCCGAGTTCAGTTGCAAGTCTTTAGAAATGTTCAGCTCGTTCGATACTGCTTTCAATAATTTATTCACATGGTTTTGGGGAAACGGGAGATGGTTCCAACCCGATGAAACGGCAGCTTCAATTTAAATATGAGTGGCCTTCAGAAAGGCCATTTGTAGAGGCAGGCTGTGGTTGGCTTGCTGGCTGCAAAGAGACCGGAAAGGCAGTGGGATGTTATTCATAATCAAATGTGCTCCGCTTCCGGTTTTGAGGGCATGCTTGCCCTGCCCTGCCCTGCCCTGCCCTGCCCTGCCCTGCCCTGCCCTGCCCCCTGCCCTGCACCCCCCCGGCACTTAAAAGGTTAAAAAGGTCAACGACACCGGTACCCGCTCTGGATGAGAGTTTTTAGGCAGTACTGTATGACCGCTAGCCTAGGGTCTTTAACACCCGTCACGCAGTATTAAAACAGGAACGTCTGCTGGTACGATGCTCATCCAGGTCGAAACGGGCAGGGGTGGGGATTGAATCCAAAATCCCTGGGCTCTGCAGCGTGAGCTTTCGTGCAGAATTCACTCACAAGCAGCTTGTAAGCACACATCCTAGCTAGCACAAAGGACAAGGAAGCCCGTTGTGCTTACGTCATAGATGCACTCAAGGGAGCAAAACACCGTGACCAGATTAAGTGAACAGTGTATGTCGTATGAGCTTCACATGTGCATGCCATTGCTATTTTTTATAGCATAGACGCAGTAATATCTGACAAGCTTGTGACTGTTACCAGAGCTGCTCTCTTCATCCTGCCGCGTTTAAAATTATATAAACGTGGTTTCACTGCGGGAGCGCACGCTCCAGGTGAGTATTCCTGCAAGCGACGCGTGGGCCCACGTGGAACGCCACTATATATAACATGAAAATAATCCAAAATAAAATGCAGCACACCCTCTTTGGCTCGTGGAATTCGAAAGCACTCGAAGAAGACCCGGCCGTCGGGGTCTTTGTAGATATGTCCCACGATGGTGGCATACTCGCCGAGCGTTTTTCGAGACTTCAGGAGCTCGCGGAAGGCCTTTCGCTTTTTCTGTTTCCTCACGCTCCGTAGGTACTGCTCACACGCAGCCGCGAAAGTAGTCAGCCGACGCCAGTTGATAGTTCTTGCATTTGTGACGTACCTCACTACACTAAGGTTCATACGTGAGGCAATTCGAGCTTCGTAGCCGGGATCCTGCCGAGACGATGCCATCACGAAAGAAAGCGACGCGCCAATGCCGATCTAGACGGAGCGCGCCCGCGCAAGCGGCGACGACCCCGTTTGACGACAGCCGTTGATTGGTTGCCTGGGGAGCCGCCGTGACGTCAGTTCCCGTATATGGGGGCCCGTGCCGCGCGCCGTTCAAATGAAACCGTGAAGTCAGCTCGGTCAGCTCCCGTAAACAGTGGCCGGAAGTGATTACATCAGTACGGGTTCCGGCCCGCGGATTTCGTATTCCGAGTCTGTTTGAACCGCGCTTTAAGCGGCGTCCCCGTCGCCGTCGCTGTCGCCGTCGGCGTAACCGTGAGGTCACGTGACGTCCCCCCCCCCCGAGGTCACGTCATATCACATGACTTCACTGGGGCCACGTGAACTCAGGGGGGGGGGGGTCACCTAGACTTCCTGTATATGCTACCTACGGTCCGCAGGGAGCCTATACAGGAACTCTAGGGTCACCTAACCTCACGGTGGCCACGTGACCTCAAGGGGTGTCACCTAACCTCAGAGGGGGTCACCTGACCACACGGGGGCCACGTGAGGCCACATGTCCCCCGTGGCGGAGTAGCAGGCAGGGTGACAAGGTGAGGAAGAGGGAGGAGGGGTATACCTTCCCCTCAGTACCCTTCCCTCCTTTTCAAGAGCTGCGCTCCAATTCGGCGTTACAGGGAATTGTAAACGGCTTCATTTTTCTAATTCACCCATCACTAAATCGCGGCGAACAAATGGAAAGACGTAACATGTGCAGAAGAGCGATGTACACGTGCTGTCTTAATGACAATATACATTTTAATATTTAATTTGCTGGTAATTATGTTTTCTTTATATTTCAGCGAGAATCCCACAGTACAAGTGAGAGCTCTAAGTCAAACTGACTACCCGCTTGAAAACGTTATACGGGCCAGCTTGAATGGTATGTAACACTCGGAGGGGAGGGGGGATGCGGCTTGAGAGGGTCAACTTTTTAACCCTTCTTCCAAATTGATTCCAATTTCTAGTGCGATTTAAGCCCTATTGGCAATGATTAAATCCCAAGCCTTACCCTTCGAGACCGATTCTACAGTACCCTGCGTTTCCTAGCTTAAAAAAAGTGGCTTCATTACGAAATGTTTTGAAGAAAAATTATAATTGGATTCCACAAATGTTGTGTTTTTATGTGAAGGCGAATGCCCTTAGGGCAAGTTAAGCTGGATATACAAAAGGCACTTCTATAGAAAATGCAATTACACCCAGAATAACAAAAGCATTTCACAGGTTATTTTTCTTTCTTTTTTAGACTTAAGGTTTAATCATAAAGGCGTAATTTTTTTTTTTTTGCAATTTTTTTATGATGAGCATGTTAACTCTTTTTAAAGATGTTTCATTTCCGGACTCCCCTGAATGAAGTTTTTTACGACACCAGAACGTTACGCAATACATTTCTCATACAAATGTTCCTGCCAAAAAGGGAATCTGAGAATAAATGCATTTGATGCTTCAATCTTAAGTTTTTCTACTTTCTATGAGTGCCAAGCCTGCTAAATTCACCTGGAGCTTAGGTAGCATCTTCATGTTTGAGTCTTCATTATCTCTTTGGCTTAAATACCAGCTAGCGTCGTTTGCGAGTACACTGTCTCTCGTACCACGCAATCCTCGACAAATAAACTGCCGAGAACTAAGAGGCAAACTATACTAAAGGAGAGCAGCAGAGTAGCAGCCTGATTTGAAGTGTAAGGTTCTGTCAAAAGAGCACTGCTGAAAATAACACAATACCCCGTCACCGGTCAGAACCAATCGTAAGCCCTGTTTTGGGTCTCAACCAGTAACATTGCCCTGTGCCACTGAAGTAGTTTATAGAATCCATTTCAGTTGTGGTAGGCTGTATATAGCTCAAACCGAATGCTGTCTTAATGACAGATTTCGAGATTTCACTTATCAATTGTTTTGATTCACAGCTGCCAATTCATGGCAAAGTTTGTGGATGGTCACCTCTTTTCAACGGCGTGCATGTGACGGGGTGTAGTAAAGGAAGGTTGGAAAAGGAGATGCTAAAAGCGGCTCTACACCATTGTGAACAAGGCTCGTGTATTAAATCGCATCGTTTTATTTTGATAAAAAAAGAGTACGATTTAATTGGTCAGGTATAGGGCCCGTGTATCTTTTGGTTGCGTACGAAAACCAAATATGTTTCCATATTGCGGTTTGTTTTTCCTGAAATATAAGCGCCCTTTTCGTTACGTCATGATGCTATTTAATCTGTAGTGCGCGTGCATGAATCATGACATTATTTCTATTGCCGCCTTTAATTATGAAGGTAACTTCGTCGGTTTTTTCGTACGGACGCTGGGTAGTTTTTACTCGTGAAGGCAGCTGGAACGTGCGTGCGATACGTTTGCTCGGTGCAATTTTTCAATAAACCTTTTAGTTGCAAGTTTGCGCTTGTTGTTGCGACTACCTTCCTGGCTCCGTCCTGGAGATGGCCTTCACCTATCGTCAACGGCATCAAAGCTTCTAATCGCGTTCGACTTGGCACGGGCCCACGACGCTAGGGAGAATCACGCTCAGATCCCCGAGACCAGCCCTTGAGACACCGGGGCGGTGGTGGCCCACGCTGAGGGCTCTAAACACAAAACGAAAGTCTTCCCGAAGCCACGAGATGATCTGGGAACGCCAGCCCTCACAAGGAGAAACCCCGGTGCGCGTGTGTATGTCTGTGCGTGTGTCTGTGTGGGTCTGTCGGTGTTGTGTTTTAGTTCGAACGGCAAAAGCGTCGACAATTTGGATCAGACACCGGAGCATGGCAAGAGCAGCTACGGCATGCTTCATCTGTCCCTCGCTGAAAGAACACAGGGCAATCGCATCAGCCGCACCCGCAATTCGAATACCACGTGAACACTCGAACTCCGGGGAAGGCTCCTCTCGCTCAGCGGGCCTTCCCGCCCTCGGAGGGCTATATCACATGGCTTCAGGAAGCCTGAGGACGCCGAATAACCAGTCCACCATGATATCTGTATATTGAGTCTGCACATAAAAGTTATACATCAGAAATCCCACTCCAGGTCTGTTTCTTCGGGGCTATGCGATCAGCGAGCCACAACCCTGACTCCTGGTTCCGAACCTAAGATAGTCACCTCCCAACCGCAACATCGTCTCGTGTTTTGCTTCTCCTGTGTCTCGGATTTTTCGTGCTATTCTTTTATCATGTCGGTCAACAGTCAATTACCCGTAAATTCACTATTGTTAAACAAATAACATCGCAGTTATTTACACAACAAGCGCACTTGTGTTCGAAGCTAGCACGAAGGTGAAATGGAGCCTCCGGTAAGCCTCAGCAGAGCGGCAGTCACCGTTTCACTTGGAAATTCAGTGGAACAACGGTGTCTGGGACATGTCTCAGAATGGTGGGTTTAAACCGCGTAAAAAAGTGGTCCCTCGATTTCCGCCTGATAACCCCATACAACTGCCGTGCTGTCGCCGGCCAGGATCCTGGAAATGTCCCAGCAGCGGTGGCGGATGTGCCAGTCGCCTGTTCTCCTGGAGATCGCTCTCCAGTGTGGCAGTCTATGGAAGCGTCGGTAGCCAGAAGTTGGGAGGCCGCGACACAGCGGTGCTCGCGTTGGCTCTTGCTTTTTGCCAGCATTTCTACGATCAACCGCCAGGATCGCGACATCTGACAGCAGGACAGTCTGGCTTCTGTGACGTCATTTGTTTACCACTTCGTATGCATGGGCCAGATAGGACGCTAAACACACCAGTAGGAAACGCCTCAAAGGTACCATATGTGAAATTAAAAGACCCTGAACGATCTGGGCCCCTAATAAAACGTCGGTTACCGCTCTGCTTAGGCTCACCGGAGTGTTCTTTTTACGTTGTGGTTCCTTGTAAGCAATCCCGTGACGTATGGCCAATAGTGCTGTGATTGCCTACGCGTCACTTACTTCTCGAAAACATATATGTTCAGATGTGACATTTTTAACCCTGCAGAGTGAGGAAATACAAGGGGAGCCATTGCACTTTAGATTAAGTTGTCATTCAGTAAGGCGGGGAGTTATCCAGTCTGTGCTAACAAACTGACTCAAGGTTCCTTGTTCTCACCGCTTGGGCGCCGGTTTGAAAGAGCAGCTTCGTACACGCCTCGCAAGTGGGCTCATTTTCGTCTTCTGCGCATGAGAAAGGAAGTAGCGGTCACGTCAGAATTCCGAGCCCTGATTGGCTGATCGCGACCCCCTATCTGAGGGTCGTCTGCTCTTTTGCAACGTCGTCTGCTCGCAACATCGTCTGCGTCTGTCTTACCTTTCCAGCGACTTTTTGAAGTGTAGGCTTTAACGAGCGAGCACGACTTCTTCGCCTTTCAGAGAGGGCAGACGAAATAACTCGAGCGGTACGTTGTTTTTGTCTAACAACTAGCAGACGCGCATCAAGGAGGGAAGTTAAAGGACTCACTGGTGAGGTGTTCCGAGGAGCCGAGGTTTGTTTGCTAAGAACCGAGAGGTGAGCGTGTTAGTGTCCGCAAGTTCCCTCCCAGATACTTTTTCCCTCCTTTTGTGTGCGGCGAGACCACTCACTCTTTAACGGCGTCGGCGATGGCGCAGTTAACGTTGTCTGCTTTACGTGTGCTAGTCAAAGCGATGGCTGCTTTACCTTTCCTGCGTCTGTCGGAGACTCACCGCTTTTTCACCGGCGAGAGTCACCGTTGCCTCGGGAAACAAGGAGATAACAAGAGGAAGGAATTGACCTCTTAATCTAAAATTGAGGTCAGCGATCAATGTATAATACGGGAAGGGTTCACAAGGGTCGCGCGGGCATATTCCATTCAGCACGCCAGCCGGTCGTGGGCAGACGGTCGCCGAGTCGCGGAAGGCCTGCTAGGCCTAACTGCCGTGCTCGCTTGGTCGCGTTCGGAGGAATCGTGGTTGTTGGAGCTTTTCCCGGGTGTTTGTGGATCTAGCTTTTTGTTCGTCATGGTATGTTTCAAGTACTTTTTACTTTTTTCTTGCTGCTTGAAGTCGGGACGCGTGAGAAGCGCAGACGACGCGTGAGAAACGCTGTCGGCCATGCTGATTTGATCGTGAGAAGTGCGTAAGACTGCTTCGGAGGTGTCGCAAGATTTCGTCGTAACCTGCGCAAAACTTACAAAAATTTCGTTTCGTGAATACGAATTTGTTCTTCAGTTTTGTCTTACGCACATTTTTGGCGCAAGATCGTTTCGTGAATGTGGCCTCTGCACTTCCGAAAGTCGCAGGAAAGGTAAGACAGACGCAGACGACGTTGCGAGCAGACGACGTTGCAAGGGAGCAGACGACGCTCAGATAGGGGGTCGCGATCAGCCAATAAGGGCTTGGCGTTCTGACGTCACCCCTACCCCCTGCGCAAGAAGCAGACGAACTTGCCCTCCGCATAATTACCGCGCGAGCAGCTGACCAAGTAGGCAGCGCGCTTGTGGCCTAGGATGCCCGACCCGTACTTATCTATTCCATAGAATCTATCTGCACATTAAAATATGTATACGTCACTTTGGTTTGTGCGCCTGATTGGCTGTCAATTCTAGACGTACTTGAGACCTTGAAATATTTTTAAATTTTACAATCGCGCATGAGTGATCTTCATGAAGTGAATTTAACAGTCTGATTCTTTTGTAGTGTACATATAAAGACCGACAATAAAAAAGAGCGCTCGTGGCCTAGCAGTTATCGCGCTTGCCTTCGAAGAAAAAAGCCAGGGTTCGATGCCAGGCCGCGGAGTCGCATTTGTGTTGACACTGCAATGCGGTGTTCCGGTGAATTCGGAAGCTATGTTAATGATTCGAGGTTAGAATGTTCTACGCGCCGAACCTTTTACGCCGGTTGTTCCAGAAGCCCACGCGCGTACAAAAGAGGCTTCGCGCGGCAAGCCGCAGTCAGTCTCGCCCCATGCGTTCGATGCTTCTGTTACGCCGACTTCGACGCCCGCGACGCTCTGATGTTATCTTCTGTTTCTTTTTAGAGCGCAGCTCTAGGGGCCCGTTTCCAGCCTGAGCCCCGTCGGCGTCGGCGTCGCCGTCGGCGTCGGCGTAACGACCCCCCCCCCCCCCCGAGGTCACGAGACCCCTCCCGAGGTCACGTGACCCCCCCCCCCCCCCCCCCGAGATCACGTGACTACCCGCAGATGACGTGACCCCCCTCAGTACCCTTCCCTACTCCTCCTCAAGAGCTGCGCTCCGATTCGGCGTTACAGGGATTTGTAAACGGCTTTCATTTTTGTTTTGGGCACAAGTTCGCCCCATTAAACATCTCAGTTTCCTCAGTTATTCTTTGTTTCGTCACCTCGTCATTCGTCTCGGTATTTTTCTTCGCTGACCACAGGAAGGAGTTCCTCTCTTCGGTTATCCATTGTTTGCTGACAAACTCTAACTTACTGAAGTACGTCCGAGCAGAAAAAATAGGGTTGTTTGTCCTATTTGCATGTCTCTCATAACCTAAGGCACCAGCACGGAAGCTTTGTGCCACAGCTGTTTTTAAACGAGATTTTCGGCTCGACGGGCTTGCACCTTTTTTGCCACTGAAGGGAGGTTGTAACAAAAATCAGGGACCCTACGGTCGAATGCAATCTGGGTGTAATTTGCATTATTCCTGTGAAGTGTGGTTCTTGCTATGTGGGTCAGAAGGCTAAGTGTCTTAATCACAACTTAATTTAACAGAAACGAACGGTGAAAAGCTAATCCGAATGTTCCGAATTCGGGAATCCTCTCTTTGCTGAAGCAAGTGTTTCGTTGTTTGGAAAAAAAATACTGAAGTGCACCACAGGGAAAGGGAGTGTTTCAAACGTTCAATGAAATAGTCGGTTAGGATTGATGGGTACGCTTATTGTTTAGCGACATGTTGGTTTCCCTAGACAACTGCGCGAAACCGTCTCTTGATTACAGCCGTTTTATTCTGGTTCCATTAGTAGTTGGTTGACCTCATTCCTTTTGTTGCTTCGTGATCATTGGGTTATTCACTTTGACTATGTCCTCAGTTTTTGTCCGTCGCACGGTGCAATCTATCATCTCTATGATGCGGAATCTGCTTTGGAGGTTGATGCGTACCCTCTTTGGACACGTGCATTCTTGGTTTGTTACGCCTGACGTCATCTCTGTCCTCCATGTCTTCTTTTGGTCTGTTTGGTTTTCTTTCTCTTGGTTGGAAATTTATGATTGTCTTTCGTAAAAAAAAACTTGAGCTGTGTTTGAAGATTCCTGTTGTCCTTTCTTTCTTTTTCCCAACTCTCCAGGGTTAAACATGACAGCTTTTAAGCAGCTCGCTGGCGCCTTTGCATTAAAACTTGTTCACATTCGCTCTATTTGAATCTAAATACGCCATGTCATTTTGTTCTGCACTGGCGAACAGCTGCAGCGAAGAAGCTTTAGCGGGTTTCGTTCAACATCATAGTACGTGCTGTATTTACTACATTACGGTTATATTTTAGCCTGTTTCAGACAATCGTCTCATATGTCAAATTTCTGAAAGTGGCAACCGTTTGCTTCAATTGCAAGAGTGCTGACCAGGAAGCACCCCATTAATAATTTAGTGTCATTTTGAGTCCAAGCCAGGCTTTACATTTATCACTAAAAATTAACGAAATTCGAGGGTCATATAAAATAAATCTAGTAATAAGTCAAGCATTCTCACCAACAGGTGCTTCTGCAGATTTAAAGTGTTCGGCGGTGATGCTCAAAAGTGAAAATTCGGAGTTAAATGCAACTGTGCCAAGTTACAAGTAATAACCAAGTTACAGTTATAGTTACGAGCATTTTTTTCTAGCGTACTAGTTTCAAAAACGTTACTAATTACAGTAACGTACATAGTTGTGATCACTTACTTTGCTGCTTTGCTTCACTGCTAGGTCAGTATTAGTGTGCAGACGGAAGATTTTAGCTGCGTAATCGTCTAAACTCTTTTGAAAGTCCAATACAGTGATTTTGTACCCCAAAACCAGGAACACTCCCAAGTGCTACTCCAGTTCCCCCAGGAAGCTACACGTACGCTCAGTATGATAACTCCACCTGCTATTCCAGAGGTACTCCCTTTCCCGACATGGGTAAGTTAAGGTTTCATGCTCGACAAACTTGGAGCATTTTTGTTTTTGTGGTATTTATCAATTTCATTGTAAAAATGGTTTTCCCACGCAGGTGTTGCTGCGAAGCCTCAGTCGAGTGCACCAGAATCTCGTTTAACCGAACATATCCTAGACGACTTGTTCCATTTTTCGGAAATTCCTCAGTATATGGACATGTATGTGGTATACAGCGAGCCGCAATGTTACATTCTTAGGAGTGCCGCAGCCGATGGAGGTAAGGGCTTCAAAACTTCAGCAAGGTTAATGTAACACTGTCTTGTTTTCCGCTAATTTAAGTTGTAAGGAAAGCAGTACAGTTCGATTTATAGCGGAAGAAGAAACATAAAAATCAAAGTTGCCTAGCACAGGAATTTAGAATTTAACAAACTGTGTAAGAGGCGTACTTCGACAGATTTATTTTGTGTTGCTTCTCGCGCTTAGACACGTACTATATGTGTAAGATAAACCATACGTTATCGGGCATGTTTAGTTTACTGAGGTTGTGCTCTAAACTCGCTGGTAATCGTCGGTGCCTCGAAGGGTTATATCAATTGGTACGTCCATGGAAACAGGGGCGCTCTTGGCATCAAAGTTTTGTTCCAACTAAAAAGGAGTGTTCCATGCAGTGCCCAGTGTCGTGCACATTAAACATTTGTTCAATTTTGGACAAAAAAGGTAACTTCACAGGACGGCAATGAAATGTCTCATGTTGAAAGTATCGTGTGTGATTTTTAATACATTAAAATTTTAGTGCAACGCAATTCGAACGTAAGTTGATGCGAAGTTGGAGACTTGCAAGTACAAAAGGCCTCTCCGAATGACCTAAATTTGATAATAAAAAGTAGGCAATAGTGCAGGAATCCTTAATAGATGTTTAATGCATCGTCTCTGCCAATGAACACCTAAAACTGAAAATCCTGCGTAGGCTATAACATGGAGATTTATTCTATGAAGAAACACCATCGGCTATCGTAGCCTCCCGGCTATCGAAAAATCTCACCATATCTTGGCAAACGGCGAAGGCTACGGTCCGAGTGAACCAATCAGCGCGTCGAAGCTAGACACGTGACTTTACCACTTGCTAGTCGAAGTTGCGCGCAGTGCTGTCAATGCCATGAGCAGCAGAGAGAGAAAAAAACGCTTTTGTACAAAGTTTGAGTGACGGGCTAATTTCCCAGGGCGACAACAGTGACGTCTGGGAGAGACAAGAGGGTTCGGCTTAAAATGCAGTTCCTCGTTCCCCTCTTCTCCATCTGCTTGGGTTACGCTCTCGCCCCCATGTCTTTGTTAAAGGCCGACGTGCACTTCACGCTTTCCACTTTTTATCACTGCATTCTTTCCCGTATCAAGTCCACCTTTGCAACATGCCCCAACATGGCACCCCTCTCAGTTTTCGAAAGTATGACGCTAAGAGGATCAATTTCCCTGCAGGGAACTAAGTCTGTGCGTCGGCCTTTAAGGGCTGTTAATCTTCACAGCCGTCACACTGATTGGTTCGAAGGTGCCGTAGTTTTCGCTCTGCGACAAGCCAAGGTGAAACCATGTATACGCTCCGCGCGAGAACTATTAGGGGGCGCTTTGAAAGACGCGCGTAGCGCTGCTAGCGGAGGAGCTGGTGTTCGACAGTCAGGCGCGCTCAGCAGCCTGCGGCGCCTTTTCGCGTGCGAAGCTGTGGCGGCGGAAACGCGCGCGGACGTAACTTTTGCTTTTTGAGCCGATAAGTAGAGGGTGACGTTGCATTAATGCTGGGGCAGATTTAAGAAGGGCATTTAGTTGAACAATCAAAAAAAAGTGAACACAAATTCGGGACGAAAACAGACGCATACAACTTTCTCATGGAACAATTTGTTAGGGTCAAACGCTGTTTGGCCGACGTTCGGGCATTACAACACATGTAGCTCACAAAACTTTATTAACATTAAAAACAAGCTTGTTGGTAAATATACTTTCTCCGCTTCTTATATATTGAGTTTGAGTTGTTGTTAGGGGTAATTTTTTTAGTTGCGATCGAAAAGGGGTCTGAGCAATTTTCCGAAAAGCAAGACTGCCGCAACTATAACTGCTCTCAGCGGGAAATTTGGTTTAAGCGGCGTAACTGAATGGGAAACGGTTTTGACCGTGAAAGAGTTGTCGAGAGAATACCACTCGTCGTAGGAGATGGAGGCTTTATAGGTGGGAAGGAACTTGTGGCACTATACTTCCAATTGTAACAACCTTACGAAAGGTGGCTTAAAAGCAGAGAAAACCAAATTGCCGGCCAACACACGGTTTGGCTGTCAAGGGCTTTGTAGTAATCTGGTTGTGCGAGGGGCTGATTTTCGGCACACAGGTACTTGGACAACCGTAACTTGACAAAACACTTATTATACCCAGAAAAGGTGGCATAGTTTAACCAGGTGGAAATATTTTTGGGCAGCGTAACTAAATGGGAATCGGTTTTGACCGTCAAAGGCTGTCAAGAGAATACAATTCATCATGGCCGGGAGGTGCACACTTTACAGGTAGTAAGGGACCAGTGGACGGTACTTCCAGTTCGAAAAACTTTGAGATAGGTGGCTCTAAAGCCGAGAAAAAAAAATTGTCTGCAAGACTCGGGGTGTGAGCGTTCCCACATCCAAAAGGAGGCTGATCAAAAAGAGAGCACACCCCCTAACTTCGGTACTCAAACATCGATTGTCCAGTGATACCAAGTTTCATTGTAGTCTTCCTTAGGTTTATCTTGTCACTTTTTGTACCGTCCGAATATTTCTTCATGAAGTACAGACTGCGTGTCACACTGGTCCGGAAATATCATCGACACATACGATGGGGACGAATTTTCTTTGGAGGGCATTCCTTCAACGAAATTCGCACTACATACCCGCGAGTGTGGGATGGCATTTCAGTACGAACTGAGATATGTAGGCGTTACTACACAAAAACAAACGCAGAGCGCAAAGCGGCAGTGTAGAATATGTCAGCCGTATCGACACAGTGGCAGACATGATCGGGAGACCAAATTTCTCGCGTCGTACGGCACGGGCCCATCGTTGTCGCTGTCCCACAAAACATCGGCGAGGTGAAAAACTGTAAAACTTCGTCCCCACGAGATACGAAGCACAATTATCGGAGCACTTAACACCGCAGCAGTTCATGGTGTTAAACCAGCGCAACCGCACCGCTCCGACTTCAATGCGTACCGATGTGCGCGGCGTGGTTTCGTTTCGCTGGGGCTCTCACTGCCTACCTTCGGTAATGGCCGCGCGGCGGCGCGCTGGTCGCGTCGCACGGAGTGTATACTGCAGTTGGTTGCTGTGCTTCACGGATGATAATCACCCACGTTTCGCACCGCCAGCCTTACCCCTGTTGCACAGGTGGTGACTTTAGTGCACACCCGCACTTTAATTGTGCAATACGTCCATCTAAAATTTTATAACTTAGTAGTTTTCGATGAGGCTCTGCAGGTTTCTAATTTAAAACATAACTTTCATTATCACTAACTAAAATCCACCTAACTACTTTTAGTTGATTGTCTCACTTGTCGTGACGTTTAGCCCATTATAATATGAGCCCCTTAGTTTTAGAACTCATCCCCACAGGCAGCATTAGTGCACTTTTCACGTTTGTTTGGTTTACATATTACTGTTCGAGTTAAAATCAAACAGCATGTGTTCTGACCACATTCTCAAAACTGTTAGAGAGTGTGGTAGAAGCGCACCTTTCTGGTTATTTCAAATAAATATTAAGTGCATCGCAACACGGTTTTCTTGACAGTAAAAGTCTTCAAACTAAAAATATTTGAAATACGTTGGCCTCATTGTTGCCAACCATGGACAGGTCGACGCCATTTATTTTGACTTGAGTAATGCACTTGACCTGGTGCCCCATGACTTTTTAGTGCACAAGCTATCGGAAAATCCCGTTGGCCGGTAGGTTTGTGGTTTCAGTCATATATTTAAGGGTTATTGAGATCTTATACAATCTTGTGCGCAACAAAGACGAGGACAAAAGCAGAGAAGAGGACACAACAAGGCGCAACTTTCAACTGAATTTTATTGAAAACGTGTTCCGTTATATATATAGTCTCAACCATCGTTACAATGACAACAAAAAGACAAAAGTAAAGGAAAAGACACCATAACAGAGCATAACTATCTCGTTCTCAGGAAAAACAATTCCTTCTCCGATAATGCGATCGACGGCATAGCAACACGCATGTCTCCTAAATAATCAATGTGCTCGGCTTCTATGATTAACACACGAAATCATAGAAGCCGAGCACATTGATTATTTAGGAGACATGTGTGTTGCTATGCCGTCGATCGCATTATCGGAGAAGGAATTGTTTTTCCTGAGAACGAGATAGTTATGCTCTGTCATGGTGTTTTTTTCCTTTACTTTTGTCTTTTTGTTGTCATTGTAACGATGGTTGAGACTATAGATATACCGGAACACGTTTTCAATAAAATTCAGTTGAAAGTTGCGCCTTGTTGTGTCCTCTTCTCTGCTTTTGTCCTCGTCTTTGTTGCGCACAAGATTGTATAAGATGTCAAACCAACTCGCCCAAACAACCACTCTTATTGAGATCATATATATCATCTGGCGCTTCTCGGATTTATATTCTCGGACCCTTACTTGTTAACATTTTTACCATTAATCACTCTCTTCGCGTAAAACATTCAAAGTTGCTTCAGTTCGCTCATGATATTAATATATTATAGCGGATTCAATTAGTATAATGAAATTCTATGCAAAGGTATAAGCGAGTTGGACAAGAATGACGAAAATAATCCTTGGAGAAGGGGAACAAGAGGTAGAAAGGACAAACAGAAATCTCCAAGCACAGCTAGGTGACTGGTGCGCGACCGAAAAAACCAGCCTGGTCCGGGTATCGAACCCGATACCACTCCATTACAAGTGGAGCGCTCTACCAACTGAGCTGACGATGGGTTAGACGTCAGTAGAGCAAACGAGTCTTATCATCTGCTACCAGTCTAACACCGACAAGGGTGAAGCTTGCAATTTCAGGTTATGAGTATAATGCAATTAAATGCAAAGGTGCAAACGAGCTGGACAAGAATGACGAAAGTAATCTCTGGAGAGGAGGAACCAGAGGGACAAAGGACAAACAGAAATCTCCAAGCACAGCTGGCTGACTGGTGCTCGACCGAAAAAATCAGCCTCGTCCGGGTATAGAACCCAGTACCACAAGTGGAGTGCTCTACCAACTGAGCTGATGAGGGGTTGGACGTCAGTAGTACAAACGGGTTTTATAAGCTGCTACAGTCTAA